GGTGGGGGGGCAAGCGAGCCCAGCATCCATATACATAATGAAACGCCTCTGTGAAAAGATTCGGCGGGTGTGGTGGCCGTGCCGGGCCCGGCAGGGTGTGTATGGTCAAACAGACTGGTGTGGGAAAGAGCTTCGTTCATAATTGATGCCTGGCAAGACTTTATTTTTGTTGGTTTGTTTGCTGTTGACCTCCCCTCACCTGCCTCGCCTTGCCTTGTTCCCCTCTAGCGACTTACCTTTCTCGCCCTCGCCTTCCCTCATCTTGTACCCACCCGCGCATTTTCACCCTCCCCACTCATGGTTGCCACAACTCTGGAAAACCTTGAAAACCTGGAAAACTCAAGGGAAGAGAAAACCGTCAGGGAAACTCAAGGAAAATGAAAAAAGGCTGTTTATGTCAAACACATTTCGACGTCCCATTTTTTGGTGTTTTGATCCAAAATTTTTCGCGCTCGCTTCCCTCGTGGGCTTGTTCTGCGATGAAGCTTACGGGCTTCGGCAAGCACGCTTAAATGCAGTGCTTCGCTGCGAGGGTATTGTTTACCCCTGTACTTCGCGACGGCGACCAGTGAATAAGGTGCGGGCGCGACGGACTGTAACTCTCGGACGGGGACGGGCCAGCACTAGCTGGAACGCAGGGGATGAACAAGCAGTCGTTATAACCCTTTTTGAAGTTGAAGTTGAAGAAGGTGCTCCAAACTCAGGGAAATATGGGGAAAAATGGTCTGGAAATCAGGGAAAATGGAAATGAAAATTTTGTGGCAACCATGCCACTAGACTAGGGTTTTGGTGTTCAATACTATACCAACAGCACGTACTGCCCGTGACAAAAATATAGCTTGACTGCTGCACGGACACGGCTTAGATCGTGGCTGGCAGCGCAAAGAATTTTTTAGGAAGGGTTTATGCTTTTGTTCATGGCGAACTGCCCCCCCGGAACAAAAGTCATTTCTGCAACAGCTTACGTGTTTAAGAGAGGGGGCGGGGGTAGGGGCAGGTGACAAGGTCAGTGAAAATTGATATCTTACTACTGTTTCGGATTCCTCTTTTTAAAAGAAAATGAACCATTTTTATTACCAAATGTGTTTCGATTTGAAATAACGGAGATGGACAAGAAAACAGGAGTCTAACTCTGGCCTCGGAACATAAATGTAAAATTGCTACATTTTTACTGTGAAGTCTGTTAAATTTAATCATGTACCTTTATTAGATGTTAGTAATTCTGTCTACAAATTTGTGTCATTCATCTCTAAAAATATCACAAACTATGATCAAACATAAACCAACATCTTTCCCCGTCGAACTGAAACTGCAATTAACTGATCCATTGCACAGCTAATACCGTTACTTTGATGTTGTCAATTATTTGTTTGGTAA